TGGATGTGCTTTGGTCGTTTGGGGGAGGGATTAGGGAGTGTTACCCCAAAAGCTAACACTATTTTTTTTTTAGATTCATACGCCATAAACACTACTTTGAGGATGGGAAAAAAACACATTTTTTTCTTTTCTTGGACAGATGCATGGGGATTCTCGGGATTCCAGTAAGTCTGTTTCCTAATAACGGCAACTCTTGGGATAGAGATAAAATAAAATTAGATGGCCTAAACATCCAATTGACTTATCCCTGTACATAAACACTATGAAGAGAAGTTGGTCCTACACCCAATCAGCTCCACTTTTGTACTAGGTCTCCCTAGTTGGACCATCAATGATGAATACAACTACTGTGTGAAGCAGATAAAGAGGTAGGTCCCAACCATCCTCATCATGTCTGATCTGTCTGACAGGTAAACAAAGCATCTCATATCATAATGACTTTGTCACCTATCCTAAAGAAACTCATCACCAACCTAGTATAGAGCATTCTTGCTTCTGTGGAAAATGGTATTATGTTTAAACACCAAGAGGACATCACTTGGGATCTTGGGTATATTGTAGAGGAACTACATCTTGCTACTAAGATCCAGGGTAACAGTAGAATGGTGAATAGTCCAATAAGAAACTTGTTATAGGAACAAAATACAGAACATAGGAATGATACCAGTTTGCTTGCAGCTGTAGCACTTTCATTTGAACTTGGGGCAGTTACAAGTGCCAATTCCCAGCCTGTAGTTCCATTCATAGGATTAGGGGCAGCAGAAGGGATAGTTGTTGATGAATCAGCTGCAACAACCACCACAAATATCATGAGACAAAACTTTCCAATCGTTCAAAACTCCATAATTCAACTGGAAATTGAACCCAATTTCAAAGCAAGATAATAAAGACTCCATTATTATGGATACTTGACCCAGATGTAATAGACAACTTGACAATTGTGTCCTTTTACCTTTAACATTGGAAAACAAAGTTTGTCTATTAAAAAAGCAAGGGCAATTTACACGGTTCATGTTCTTTATGATCTAATTACCTAAAGTGTTGAATTCACCAACCTAAAAAAAAAGTATTGAATTCACATCCTACATCAACTATTCAAGTTCAGTTTGTTTCTCTATTGTTCCAATGCTGAGAGGGGATTGATTATATACAAAACAAGAATCAGAGAAGAAACCCTTCACAACAAGAGCCAGCCAACTAATTCTACTAGTTATGTTAATGAACAACTTACCAACTGGAACAATAGCCAGAGCCAGAGCATTTTTCTGATCCAGTTCTGATGCTTCAGGGATGGGATCATTCAAACCCTATTAACCAAGTAAGCAATATTCATAGAGAGACTCCAGGAGATTCCAGTTAAAACCCCAAATTTTAAAACAGGATCAGGTTGAATGCAGTGCAGAAAGCAGGTTGAAAAAAAATACCAACAGATCTGGTGGTTCAGAAACAGGAGCTTCAACTTTCCCTGGTTCAGGTTTTGGTGGGGATGGTGGACGTTCCTCCTGCACCTCAGGGGCCTTCTTATATTCTATAGCCAATACCACCTTTGGAGCATCAATTTTATCAACAACCTTACATGAGAAAAAAGAATAAACAAGATATGGTGAGTTTAAAGTAAATAAAAAAAGGTTCCATTTTTTGTGCAATAAAAAAGACAATTTTCTCCAAAAGATTTTCTTCCTAATCATAGAAATGTGTAGCATATGAGAGACAGAAAGAGACAGGGAGAAGAGAAACAATAGGATCATATCCAAGTTTGGGGGGGACAGTCTGCATTGCCTTGATATGGTCCATACTCATTGTATCTAGTTTGTCTGCACATTGCACTTTTTTATAGCAAATGGCATGAAAACACCATGTAGTTCTAATGTCAATCTTCTGCAAAGTGATATTCAACAAAGTTCCTGTGTGTTAGATTTTGTTTGTAGCCACGGAGATCCGAAAGATATAATAGGAAGTGGCTTAAAACAATTCCACAGGTTCACCTTATTTACTCAATTTCGGGGAAAAAGAAACAAACCCAAGGAAAGCACACATGTCATATTATATTGAGAACATTTCTTTTCCCTCTGACAGCATGAGAAACACTATCATCAGTTCATCACTATTGACAAGCCAAATGGAGAGGGTGAATCCATAAACAAATGTAAAGCGTTTATTGTGATTCCTGGTACTGAATTTAATGGCATTCATCATTTATGGAAGTTGTTTCCATTCTCTACCCATTCGAATGAAATTATTTCTATTCATATTTACCAAGAGAAATTTCATACCTGATCTTTGCGAACTGTGGAAACTCGGGGGGCTTCTTTCACGTATTCTTCCATGGCTGTTATAAATGATGCAGGCGGCTGCATTATTTACAATGAAGCAACTATGAAACATGTTGAGTTGATAACGATTAAAGAGAAAAAGATAAAAACAGTTAATAGATACAAGGAAAGTAAAACCCATCAATAGAAGGCCTCAATAGAGAGCGAAATACCTGCTCGATCTTAATGAACCTTTCTCCACGCCCAAGATCAAGGCTCTTGCATATTTCATAGAACTCTGATAGTCTCTCTGCCTGATAGACACGAAGCAATGCAAGGAGGGAAGTAATGCAATAGATGTGGAAATTCTCCCTACTAGCAAGGTTTATGAGTATAGGATGTTCTTGTTGCAATATAACTGTAAGAACAATTAATATATGAAGAACATATACCTGCTGTCCTGCCCTCCTGTATATATCAAGAGCCTTAACAGCATCATGTCGTTGCATCTCAAAGAACTGTCATGATCAAAATTTTCATTTATAGTTGATTTACAAAATAACCAAACTGTTCATTCATGGAGAAGAATAATAATCATACCTTGTCAACCAAATTAACTGTGCCATCACTAATAGCATGGTAAATCTTAATGCTCTCTGAAGCAACCTATTGAGATGGAAAAATAAACAAGACATAAAAATGTAATTAGCAAGTTATTTAAGCCAAGCTAACAGAAGGAAGCAAAGAATCTAGAAAATTTACTCACCATTGAAACTGCTAACTGAATGACAAAATTATAAACTGCTGCTCCTTGGGGCTGCATATAAGTTCCAAGATGAAAAATATTTCCATATGAAAAAGAAGTCCAAGTATAGAAACATTTACAGTTTGAAATATCTTGTAAAGAAGCAACATAGTCTGCAAATAAAAGCCAAGCACTTCTAAGTGGGATGAAACCTATGATACCCAGATACTCATACATGCATAGTAGGCTAGTATACTGGTCTTGGACATGATACACATCCCATAGAATATTTATACAACATGGACACTTTTTAGAGTATATTTTATAGGATTCACTTTTTAAGTATGTAAGATGCTATGAAAAAATCACAACATAAAAGATATGCATATAAAAGAATTTAATTAAATTTGACAAGATATAAGTACAGAGAAATGACACTTAGCTTCAAAAACTATATATTAATATAGTAAATGGGATTAACCATAGTCTATCCATGATTGGGATCTTAGGATATGAAGTTGCATCCCTGTTTCCTATACTATATCCACATCCATGTCAGCACTCATACCTGGGAACCATAGATGTAAACGCATTCAGTATGAAAAGTGAATTGTAAAGATTTACCTGACAACCAAGTACACGATTAAGAAGCTGTTGCAAAGCAGGCAATTGCTCAAGCAATTCAACAGTGTCCAGGTCCTTGGTTCTCTGTCAGCATCATAACAAATTATTTGCAAGGATGATAAACACAACCCATTTCCCACATAAAATTGATGTACTACAGCCAAAACTTAACCAGCACCAAAGATAACAAAATGCAAGACAATAAGTGCATGAATTAATCATCTACTTCCCCAAATAATGTGAGTTTGGAACTCAAAGAATTTGAGTAAGCCAGAGCTTAGAGGATCTTGAGACACATCTATGACTAAATAAGGTGCATGATGCAGCAAGGCTTGGCCTCCTTGAGTGGGTAAGCCCAAGGTAAAGAAACTTTCATCCTAACCACAAGCCCCTGACAAGGGGCGAATGATGATTCCAATAACAAAGTCCATTCTAGCAACACAATTCTTGGAGAGAGAGAGAGAGAGAGAGAGAGTAGTGAACCCTACCCTCACTAGGTAGCAGACAAGGTCAGTACCCAAAGTTGGTCCCAGCTACCTGGGGTCTTGGGAGGGGTAGGCTGGATATGGTCCTAACACTTGACTCTTTTACACAAAGTGGCTTCTCCCAAACTCAAACCTGCATTCTCATGCTTGCCAGCCCAAGATTTTACCATTTCACCAAGTAATGGCCTCTAAGTAGCAATCTATTCACTTTTACCAAATTAAAGAATAATCAATTTCTTTTTCTCTGCAATTATGTTATTTTCTTAGAAAGAGTGAAATAGACATTCATTTTATCATGGTTGCTATGTCATCCTCTTCCCTTGTTGAGGCTCCTAAGGTCCGGAAGGGTACTGGGGCACACCCTACTTTTGTAAATGGAAGACATCCATAAGAAAACATTAAAGAAAAGTATTTACATTTAATAATAAAAAAAAAAATCAGTTTCAGTAACAAATAAAAAATAAGGTAAATTATAAACTGCCACCCTGTACTTAGGGAGTGATGACACTTACCACCCTGAACTTTTGGATTTCAACACTTCGCCCCACCCCCATTCTGTTAATGTGGTTGGTGGTGAAGGTAAAATTACAAAATTGCCCATTTGAGACTTGATGGACTGAGAGAAAAAGCTACCAAAATGATAAAAACGGGCATGGATGAACTCTATTTCCTCTTCAGCAAGGGTTTGGAAGCACAGTAACCTATTCCGAAAAAAATAATTGTGCTTTAGCATGCCCATTTTCATCATTTTGATAGATTGTTCTTAGTATTTAGCATCACTACCAACCCCATTAATGAAATAGGGGCTAAGTGCTGAAATCCAAAAGTTCAGATGGCTCTTTGTTGCAAAACAAAGTTCAGGGGGCTAAGTGTCACTACCCCCTAAGTACAGGGTGGCAATCTGTAATTTATCGTAAAAAAATTAGAATACCATTTTTGGTTTGGGAGGGAGGGTGGTCTGAGAAATTTGTCTCCATATATAGATTGTGAGACAGGAGTCACAGGACATGAAGCTCCCTTCCTTGCTGCTTCTTAATCACTATGAATATTAACTCATCTATTTATTTATTTATTGGGTTTTTGGACGGTCTTTTAAATCAGTAATATGTGTCCCATCTTTTTCTACGGATTTTGTGGACTTTTCTTGCCCTTTCAACCAGAAAAGGAAAAAATAAATAAAAGGGGAAAACAAGTAAGCTATTGTATATCATCTCTCGTCTTTGACTCACTCAGCTCAATTGAACATACTATCAAGGCATTTCCTTTATTCCTATTTGATTAATAAGTAGGTTGGTTTTGTTCAGAAAAGTTACCATTTAGATGATGTTGGACCCACTAGTTGGGGTTTTCATAGGAAGTAAGTTTGAATAAGTGTGAAAAAAGCACTTGTCTCTCTTGAAGGTATATTATTTTTTTCATGCCACAATCAATGAAGCATGAGCTTCAAGTGTCTGTTGTGCTTTCAAATAAGCTTTGAGATATTTTAGGAGCACTTCACATTGAGACACCTGGTCCTTCTGGAAATTTGCCTAATTATAAGATCTAACAAATGACCCAATGAGGTATTCTTGGATCGTTTTCTTTTAACCATTTTTCCAGAATATCACATTGGAAATCATTAGAATAATTCTAATTTTTGAGAAAAATCATTTTTAATACAAACCTGCCATATAACACGTTTCAAACCTTTAAAAAATTAGGAAGACACTTCAGTATTTATATTTTGTAGATTTTTATGTGAAAATAAACACCCATTCCTCTGCAACATAGATTGGTGTATGTAAAACAAAAGGAATTGATTCTTTGTCAACATTGAAATGAAAATTATTCCTTTCTTTGATTTTTTTTGGGCCTGCTGAATTTTGGGTAAACTTCATTCAGGAAGGTATTATTTCAATGGTTCACAATTAAGAATGTATGGCCATGATGGAACAATGTTCTTACAGGGTGATCTGTCTCAACATCATACTTCAAGACACGGAAACATTCCAGCTTCTCCTCTAAGAATAAAGCATAAGTGCGGACCCATGCAGAGTAATCCCATGCTGGACATATGAGCAACAAAAAAAAAATGTCATCTAACAAACTTACTTGCATTTAGAAAAAATATACAGAGCATATCTCAGAAGAATTGAGTACCATTTGGACTGGAATCATCCTTAAAATGAGACATGTTGAGCATGTGGCTTCTGCTTCTTCCATAATTTATGAGCTCTTCACGGAAAGTGGGATCCACTTCTCTCAAAGCGCGATGTATAACAATTAATGTTTTCAGAGCCACCTAAATACCAAAAGCATTTTGTCAGCCAAATTACAAGATATGCACTTCCAAAATGTGGATGTAACCACTAGCTCACATACAGTGAATACAGTGCATTGTTATCAATAGAATAATTTAGTTATCCATGTAATACTGGATATATAATAAAGAGGCACGCCCATTCAATCTGCAGAAAAAGCAACAGAAACATTTATCCTATTACACAACTCAGAATGCCAAAGTCTCTCAATTCCGGGATATGAATAAAAGTAAGATAACAGAAGTTCTCTAAAAGAAATTTAGAGTTTTAGACTAGGAGGATCTAAACAGGATATAAGTAACTACTGGAATTATTTTACTTCCCCCTACCCCACGCCACCCCACCCCACCCCAGAAGAAACCAATCAGGATTAATCACTCTTATGTAGACTTTAATCACTAGTAGAATGTTAGCCACTCCATAATTTGTCTATAACTTTTCTCTCATGAATAGAAATCTAACAATAGGCATAGACATGGAAACATGGAAACTACCACCAGCAACGCCTCTTTTTTATAAAGAATCAATACCCATCATAAAGCTTTCCCTTTTAGCCGAATGTTCTCAAAAACGATGATAAGCTGTCACTGCTAATAAAGTGGCTTGCTACTCACCTTTCTAACATTCATTTGTGAATTACAAGGAAGCTGAACAGATAGGATAATTTTTTTTTTTGATAAATAAACAGATATAGATCCTCACTTCTGTATTTATGCATGAATTTGCACCTATGTTCATATATTCCTACAAGCTGGATGAAGGGCACTCACTGCTATAAAATATGGCAGTAGCATTTACACATAAGAACTGAAGCAGATTCTATGGACCCGCAGGTATTAAAAACCCATACAATGATATGTTGGCATTATAGTTTAGGATGGGCAAGATGATATTAAAAGTAAAGATTTAAGCAAATGTACCTTCAGAAGAACAATTATCAATGTAAGTTGAGCACAATATTTGTCCTTACAATGTTGCCTATAAACTTAAACAATTGCTGGAATATAAAATACTTTGCTTTTTTCCCCTTTTTTTTTTGGGGGGGGGGGGGAGTAGGTTTAACAGCCACATGCTAGCTTACTCAAGGATCTAAGACTACAATTACACACTTATGAGTTGGAGGATAATTAATTCAAGACATGATGTTGAACCTTGAAAGAAAATACTACCAAATGCTACTTAACGTAGAATTATTAACCCAAATAGAAGGGTATGCACTGGAAACTGTTGGGAAGTGAGACAACCAAGGCCAATTCCAAAGGTCGAAGTCAATGGGCCTTTTGATCAATTAGATAATTTAGATTTCTATGAGTCCATGTTGGGAAGAGAGACAACCAAGGAAGCTCCAATGGGGCATATTAAATTCTATAGACATTTTCTTTTATTTTGTATTTTCTTTGCTTCTTGTATAATGTTTCTTTTTGAGGTTGCTGAAAGAGTAAGTCAGGACTTCCTAAACCCTGACTTACTATTTGAACAACCAAGGAAGCTCCAATAGGGCATACTAAATTCTATAGACATTTTCTTTTATTTCTTTTATTTTGAATTTTCTTTGATTATTGTATAATGTTTCTTTTTGGGGTTGTTCAAAGAGTAAGTCAGGGTTTCCTAAATCCTTTCCCAATTTTTCATACAAAAATGGTGTAGCCCACTTGCAAAAAATTGAGAACTACAATCCCAGGTATTTCCTATCCCATCTCATAACATCTCACAAACCCAACGTGGGAAGGAAAAAAACATTCAAGAATATTCCTTTTTTATCCCTTCCCTTCCCACAATCCAAACATAGCCTTAGTGTTTCCATATGGGAGATATAATTTTAGGTGTAGTGCAACAAACCATGCCATATTGTATAAATAAGGAAGGGGTGTAAAAGGGTACTGTGAAAGGCTAGTTCTAAACTTAGAGGACTATAAATTGGGCTTTACTGAGCCCAGATCTCTTGCAAGCAAAAACTCTGCTCACATAGCATCCATCCACACATCGGGAATATTCCCCATACATTTATGTTAAATTCATGGGGAGATGTTCACAATGCGTGGCGGGATTCCCATGCTTTCACAGTTTTTGCTTGCAGGGAATCCCATTGTGGCTTTACTCTTTCAGTTGTTCTTTTTCTTTAAATCCTCTGTAATCACCCCCGTCTTTCTAGCTGTGACCAGAATAAGTGTTCTACCCTTCTTTTTTCTCTTTTTTCCATGCAGTTAACATTCACACCTTCTAACTTCTATATTTCAATGTCATTCAAAAATAACAAGGGATGCATCCCTTCATATGCCGTTTTCCCCTATTCTTTGATTTAACATACACATAAACTTTCTCTTTATATCTTCCTTTTGTATCCATCCCCTAATTTTTCATAAGTTGTGTGATGTTGTTTTAATTCTACTTTTAATTTGTAATTCTTTTATGCACTTTAATGTTTTCATACCTTCCTTTTGTCATACCAACTAGGGAACGAAGATTAACTCACCAAGATTTTTTGAATAACAATTATATTCATACCTAGTCACCTAGGAGGTAAGATGCTCTATCATCAACCCAACCTCAATTTAGGACCTTTTTTTATATCTTCTGAAGGGCTACACAATGACAACGGGGTAGCCCATCCCCCGACCCATATCCCCNATCCCAAGTTTCCACTACAACCAGCAGGAGACCTTACCAACCAGCTGGTTGGCACCTTGCGACCTCAATTTAGGACCTTGACAACAATGGTCAAGAAGGCCATTGTATCCTATAGAAATGGTCAAGAAATTCCGTTCCTTGAAAATGGTGTATGAAGAAAAGATTTTGAAATTTTATCCTTCTCTGCCGTAGTTGCTGATACCAACCCCTGGATTAGGGTTTTGTCTCTTTTTCCATATTCCCATCCTTCGCATTTCCAGTTACTTCCTCTTCTATGCATAATTTATAATATTAGGTTGCTACACTAACCTCAAGGTTATACCCTTGTACCTCTATCATTGTACGCAATATACAATATTTGGATATTACCAAACAGGTCCACTAAAATAACACAGTAACCCAAATATGCAAGCATCCATGTGTGGACCTAAATGGCCAAAAAAGTTTTTCTTAACCCAAGCTGAGTTGACTGTATTTGTATCTGTTTAGTGTGAAGAGGGTTAACCTATCAGATCATAAAAAGAATCCTATCCTGAGCACAGAACCACTAACCAGAATTGTAGGTTCAAGCTTCTAAAAGGATAAGGGCAAAAACATTGTTGTGATAGACAGTAAGAAAGGATTTGAAGGCAAATTGCACAAGAAGAGCCCTGAACAGAATTGAATGGTGGAACAGAAATTATCTAGATGAACACAGAGAATCTTTTTCACTTTGATGGTGATGATTCATGATATACACCAACTTACCCATCAGCAGTTCCTCTATTTTGTGTATCTTAATCGAGTTCTATCATCTTTGAACTGTTTAGTTTGGAAGAAAGAAAAAAAAAAGAAGAATAGAAGACAGAAGGCTACATCATTAAGTGATGTTACAAGAGATACAATCAATCTCAGGAGAAAAAAAATATATTGCTTTCTCCACATATGTCCAACATTCTTCGCATGTTGAACTCTAAAGTAAATCACCCATGCTTCTTGCAGTTTTTTTTTTTTTGGGTAAAAGAACATGCATTAAAAGCATCTCTCACTCCATGTTTAGTTTGTCCAGCATACAATATGATTGCCACAATTCACATACCGCCCAGTTATGTGTCTTGGCAAGTCGCCTGGCAAGAGCATGAATGCAGTAGGCAACATCAGCCCTAGGCCTTGTCGCTGAAATTGCAGCAAAAATAGCTGTAAAACAAAGAAAAATGTATAGATCCTAACTCGTCAGTTACTTTACTTCTCATATGCATGGAAAAAAAACCTAAGCAGAAGTGAACAATTCCATGGAACACAGAATCTGGTACAGAGCCTATAGAGTGGGATCACAGAATCAGATTTAACAATGTTACAGCATGCATCAGAACGATTATTCAAGAACTTATCTTTAATACTCCTTCAGTGAGGTTACAATGTTTTCTTGTAGAGATAATGAAAGCGAAAACAAAATCCTTTTATGAGAAAATAAATACGAAAATAAAAACTTGAGCAATAACAGGAACTAGTGAAGTCCACACATCCAATAGCAAAATATGAAGTAATAATAGAAACCAAATATGGGGTAGCTTCTTGTGAAATGTAATGACAAGAATCAACATTAAGAAAAGGTACAAACAAACAAAGATTTTTCACGAATGGGAGATTATCAATCCCAAGGCACAAGAAGCCATTCACATTTTGAGGTAGAAAACCCACATAGGAAACTGAAACAGGAGAGAGGTGCTCACTCACCCTTTATGTGTTTTTCTTTTGCAGGGCGTTCAACATGATTTGTGGCCTTAACAATAGCAATGTCTAATTCCTGCAAAGTTCAAAATATACCATTTAAAAACTCAGAAAAATCCAGTCCTGCAGCAATTCTCATAAGCATATGCCCTTGTCACACCTTGTAATCACTGTTAACTTTGGCCAATCCAACGGTTGTGGAGTCCTTGATGGCTCCTAGAGCTTTCCTCAAGCTCTTCTGCGTACCTCCTCCAGACATCCTCTCTCCGAATCAGTTTTCTACAAAGACAGAACAGACAAGCATTGTTTCTAGAACCAATCTAGCAATTTTCTTTACCAAATGTACAGTTCCCATGAAATTAATACAACTAAAGAGTGAATAGGAATAATATGGAATAACCACACCAGCCAATTCAGTTAATTATTCCAAACTTCTATTTGGAACGTATCTATCTCGTCGATTAGAGTAACTTTTGAAACATAGAATACTGCTATTGAATCAAACAAAGATATTCTCAGAAAGCCATTGCATGTAAAATGAACAACTGCAATTCTCACAAACTCATATGGATTCCTGAAGTCAAAATCAAAATTCGCATTACCAATCCTATCACTGGATCAAAACGACAATAAATTGTTCGAAACCAAAAAAAAATAACAACTACGAGAAAAGCTCCTAATCGACACTAAACTTCTGATCCTGATCTACCATCACATCATATAAACAAAACATTAATCAAAACATTAATCAAGAGTAAACATATGAACAAAAATAAATCAAATAATCAACGGAAACAACATTAGTTCCAGTCAAGATCTAATCAAACAGAACACATAGAACACAAAATCTACAGTGCCTTCGATATTCGAGCAACCAAAAGAAAAAAAAAGCCGTTCCCATTCGTTCCAATTCAGTAACCAAAGCGAATCAAAGAACAGCGAATCGAAGAGAGACCAGAGAACTCAAACTCACCTCAACCTGGATCAACAGAGAAACAGATGAGAGGAGACGGAAAGAAGGCTTCCCTCTGGACACTGCCCCGGTCTGAGACCAAACAATCAAAGAAAGAAAGGTGAATGATTTTGGTTTGGTTGAGTCGTCGGCATCGTTCGCATTTTTTATATTTTCATCCTTCAATTTTTCTCTTCCCTTTACAAGTCAGTCCACAACTAAGAGAGAGAGAGAGAGAATTTCTGGCCTTCTCGCGCGCGCGCGCTAACCACAGCGGCACAGCCAATGAGCCAACTCTAATGAATACTTTTACCTCAGTTAAAACTTAAAATCCATCGTCTACGATTTAGTGCTCTGATTACGTATGAATGTACTACATTTCAAATTTCTATCCGTTAGATTATTAAATAATGACGTCGTACAAATGATTCCGTATCTATGGTTCCGTATTCATTGACTTGATTTAGAGTTACACCAAATTAACTTGCTTATAGATGTACGAAATCATGGACTGATTGTCCCGCTGAATGAAAACTGTTGCACCAGAACAACTGAACAAGTGGGGAGTCAATCAGGAGTCCGGACTCAGGACTCAGAACTCGGTACGAATCGGGAAGTCTTTAGCTCTAGTCGAGAGACCAGTTGCTTCGGAAACTGCCAGCTAGGCACAGTTTAAACACAGCAGAATTTTGAATTTTCTTCGAGAAATCAGGCTTCGTTTTCCGTTCATATTACAGAAATGCCACCCATAATTCTTTAAAGACAAAAAATGGGAAAAAGAATATGCATGATGACGAACGAATGTCCACAGTCTACATGATTCCTAGCCACCTGGAAGCATCATCTACTGGGTCCCACTAAGGTAATTTCTCGGGTAAATGTCAATTGGATTGACTGGTGACAACCGTCAGATTTTGTACTGTTTCTTTTATCGAGGGCTTTATATGCTGTGGCTGTGCAATTTCATTTACATCCTTGCTACTTTTTGGAATATGTAAATAGAGTACAAATATAAATACGTAGAGTACATTCTCATTCATGCAAATTCACCGTTGGTACGGACAGGTTCAATGCAGATTTTTTACTTTTACTAGATCAAAAACTCATATTTTATGCATTTATATCTGCCCTTAAATTGGCATTAATTCTGAATTGACACCTATTCCAAATGTATTTTGAACTTAGGCTGAATCATAATTCTCTAACAAGTTTTAGTTATAATGGGTGTAAATACAAATTCCCAAAATCTTTTTGTAACATTGTTCAATTTGAGTGTAAAATTTTATGTAAACATGTCTTGAAATTTGTGGAAACTGTCACTTTTAATATATAACTTCATTCTTATCAAATATTACTAAAATTGAATCAGAGTGCATATATACACTGTCCGCATTTGCACTCTCCTCAAATGGAACCTTAGGCTTTGTTTAGAAAAAATGAAAATGCCAGTTCACTCTAGTTCCGTGTTGCAATGTTTGATAAAAATGCATTTGTATATTGAAAATGGCATCAAATACTGATTTCAAAATATGTTTGCATTTAAAATAAGAGCAAAGTCTGTATCCATTTAAAGGTAGATATTCATATTTGTATCTATTACAACTAAAAATCATTTGGCAAAAATAGGAAATTGTCATTACAATCATTTTATGAAGTAGATATATTTGTATTTGTGCTGAATTTTTTTTGTATTTCTACTCTTTTTCTCAAACAGAACCTTATACATTTGTATCAGTACAAATAAAATTACACTCCAAATAAACAGAAATGGTTAAAATGTTAGATCGAGTTCTTCGTATGTAAAAATGCAAAGAAAAAAAAAGTATACACTTAAGCACCACTTGGGCCTATCTCATACTTATAAGACCAAGAGGCTTTTGCTTTGATGTGATCATATTGAACTTTTAGAGCAGAATTGCTCCTTTTGTGAGGCCCTATAAATTAAAGGATGGAACCCACCACTACTCAATAGCTACAGCCTTCTATGTATGAGAGAAGGAAATTTTTAAATATCCATTTGTAGCTTTAGTCTCCATTAGTGGAACTCCCATTTATATTTGGCTTTGGATGAGTCAGACATCAACGAAAGGAGCAATAATAAAAAGCATGTTTCCATGGTCCATGGTTATATCATCCATTCTCTATCATCACTTTCAATGCCTAATTCAAGTTCAAACCATTTGCCCGGATACACTGTTTACTGTTTTCTGGAGGAAAGTTTTCTTTTGACCTAGTTTGCAAGTGAGTTTGAATGTTCTTTTTTAGGGTCATTTATTAAAACACCCCTGTAGTTTTATAGATTTACTAAAAGTCTATCTATTGTTTATATTTTACTAAAATACCCATATTGTTTGCAACCTATTTACTTAATTAACTTTTCATTAGATGAAAGTGGAAAATGATGGTTCTGATCTTAACATCCATTAAAACAAATTTAATCAAAAGAAAAATAAAAACAGAAAACATAGGCAATCACTTTGTTTAATTAGCCATACTTTCTATTTAAAGTATTTGGGGTATTTTTGAAATAAATAACTATCGTCATGCCCTTAAACATTTTTCACTCACTTTAAGTAGTCACATGACCATTTATAAATGGCAACACGAACAGTTTAAAACAGAAGGTAGATTGAGTAGATTGGTTGTAAATTATAGGGGGTGTTTGTTTACAATACAAATGAAGTAAAAGAGAGAGAGAGAGAGAGAGAGAGAGAAAAGCAAATGTGAATCAGAATTTGTGCTCCCATACATTTGTACCAGTGCAAATGACATTGCATTGCAACCAAATAGAGCCTATTTTGGAATTGAATCATTAAAGGGTATTATTGTTAAAGCTGCATAGGCAGTGTTGCAGCTCTTACGTTCCAATCTATTAGAATAATTGTAGTTTTATTGAGAGGCTAGCAAATTAAAGTTTTGGTTTCCTTCTTGTGTCCAACAAATTTAATTTAGGTTATGTTTGGTTTAAAGAAAAAGGTAGGGAAAAGATGGTAAAGGCAGAAAGTCTATACAAGGTTCGTTTTTTTACATATTTCCCTTCCTTTCCTTTCTTTTTCCTACATTTTCCTTCAAAGCAAATACAACCTTAGTGAATTCAAATCCTCTGCAGCGCCCCTGACTATCTCCATTACATTACATCCCATTTTCAAGTTCCCAACAATTGATTATACCAAACTCATTTAAGAGATATCTGATAGGAGTTATTTTGCTTTCGAATCAATCAATTTAGTGCAGTATTTGAAAGTCTTTATTATTCAGTGGAGAACTGGTTGAGGAATCACTGCTTATACTTGAATCAGCTTTAATTCAATACTTGAATGGGAATGTTTGGGAATCTAGTCCAATTTATTGGAGATCAGGAGCACTAAATCTATTCCAGTCTAGCTGTTGCCATCTCATATGCAAGTACCTTATCAATGAATAATATAATAATTGATGCAGTAAATAACTAAGTATAACTAGGTTTAATCACAATGCCACCTACCCACCAAACTTGCATTCACCAGATAAAAACTTGAATGTGCATTTATCATGCATGCATGATTCCTAAATGGGAGGTCCTCAGTCCTCAGATTCGCCCATGTTTGGCTCCATACGCATAAGGTATGGGTATTATGTGGGCCCATATATATGGAATACTGTTGTGTTTATTAGTGATAGATTGTCTGGTTTGGTGTACATGATTTCTAGCCCATCTAGTGGTGTTAGTTGTGAAATATAAGTATGAAGCTACGAGTTGTCAATGGGCCAGGTGTGGTATGGGACAGGGTGGATTCAGTCCCCTAACTGACATGACAACCATGTAGACTCAGACACTCAGTCACAAACCAGAGCTAGAACCGAATCGATTAATCGGGCTAATTGGGAATTAATATTAATTTGATATCTTTAATGACCAGTCCGAATCCATTTATAATCGGGACATAAAATTGGAACCTGAACAATATAATTCAGTTCACTTCTATTGGATAGACCCGACCCATTGAAAACTCTAGGTCTAGGGTAGCATGAAATCGGTTTCTATTTCGCTCCAAGTATGAAAACATTGGAAAGGAGACTTCACCCATCTCAGTTACTCCATTACTGGCCGGTGTCAAATAATGTGGCGCTTTTACAAATGACACCAATTCAATGCCACATAGGTGTTTCTCCTAAAACAATGTTTAGTTAAATTGTTTATTCAATAAATAGTTGCCTTGGTTTGTGTGAAAGGGATCTGTCGAGGGAAGTTTCCTTCAATATCTATGTATTTTTATCTGTTTAACTTACGTGATATCTAATAGCACCTAATCGTTAAAAAACATCAATAAACATTTAATCATTTTTCTCATTTTTTAAAATGAAAAAAAAAAATGTACAAAATGGCAATGAAAATTGAAGCCAAACAACCTCCAAGCTCCAAAATAAGTCAATAACTCACAAAGGGCAGAAATCAAGGGAGTCATTTGAAAATCCATTGTGCTTTTGCTTGGGTGATAATCATTTCTATTCCCGGAATTGGGAATTGGGTTGGTAATAAAATTCAACTTCATCTACTACTCTGCCGCGATCGGAAGCAACTCAGAGACATTCATCATGCACCATTTGGCCGTACTGACCAAACCATACAGCAGTGTTTCTTTTGTTTGAACTTTAGTGGAACTGGGTCCAATTCCATGCGCGGCCAGCGGCCCCATTGGCCTGCTTTTCGGTGTCCACCGTCCACAGAGCCCAGACAATTCCAAAGGGCAAGCCCATTAGGCCGTCACTTCTCTGGATTGATGCTTGGGCAACAGAGATTTAAGCCTTTAATAGACTTGATTCAGCTCTTCAGCCATTTCTGTAAGAACTTAACGGCTTAATTAGAGTCCAGACTATAGTTTTTGTTTTGTTCAGTTGCTCGGTGTTCCTGGGCTACAGACCCATGGGCTTTTTCTGCAAGTGCTGGAATCTTTACTATCAAAAGCCCACTTGCAGGCACTAGCAAGTGCCAGCCATTATCACCATGCTCACCATTCCACCACGTGGATGTCCTGAATCCATTGAATTCGAAAAAGTTAACTATGCTCTTTTACACTGTTAGGTAAAAAAAGAGAAAGAGAGAGAAAAAGCAGCCAGCCAAACAAGAAAATAATAATACATGTATGCCTTTTGTGGAGCACAGAAAAAAGGGTTTTGGGAGGGCGAATTTGCTAAGCAGCTTCTTTTGGATGCTA